GTTAAGAGTGGCATGTGCCACTGTTACAAGTGGCATGTGCCAGTGTTACGAGTTGCATGTGCCAGTGTTACGAGTGGCATGTGCCAGTGTTAAGAGTGTTAAGAGTGGCATGTACCAGTGTTAAGAGTGTTAAGAGTGGAATGTGCCAGTGTTAAGAGTGTTAAGAGTGGAATGTACCAGTGTAAAGAGTGGCATGTGCCAGTGTAAAGAGTGGCATGTGCCAGTGTTAAGAGTGGCATGTGCCAGTGTTAAGAGTGGCATGGGCCAGTGTTACGAGTGGCATGTACCACTGTTAAGAGTGTTAAGAGTGGCATGTGCCAGTGTTAAGAGTGTTAAGAGTGGCATGTGCCAGTGTTAAGAGTATTAAGAGTGGCATGTACCAGTGTTAAGAGTGTTAAGAGTGGCATGTGCCAGTGTTAAGAGTGTTAAGAGTGGCATGTACCAGTGTTACGAGTGGCATGTACCAGTGTTACAAGCGGCATGTACCAGTGTTAAGAGTGTTAAGAGTGGAATGTACCAGTGTAAAGAGTGGCATGTACCAGTGTAAAGAGTGGAATGTGCCAGTGTAAAGAGTGTTAAGAGTGGCATGTACCAATGTTAAGAGTGGAATGTACCAGTGTAAAGAGTGGAATGTACCAGTGTAAAGAGTGGAATGTGCCAGTGTAAAGAGTGGAATGTGCCAGTGTTACGAGTGGAATGTGCCAGTGTTACGAGTGGAATGTGCCAGTGTTACGAGTGGAATGTGCCAGTGTTACGAGTGGCATGTACCAGTGTTACGAGTGGCATGTACCAGTGTTAAGAGTGGAATGTACCAGTGTAAAGAGTGGAATGTACCAGTGTTAAGAGTGGAATGTACCAGTGTTAAGAGTGGCATGTGCCAGTGTTACGAGTGGAATGTACCAGTGTAAAGAGTGGAATGTACCAGTGTAAAGAGTGGAATGTACTCCTGAACCCAACTACTACGCCCTCGTTGGTAGAGGCGGAGCTGGAGGCGGAGGAGGGATCATCGTCAATTGGCCTGGTGGAGGTCACTGATGTAGTCAAACAAACTCCGCAGTGGCAAAGCCCCGGGGATTGATGAGATCCGTCCAGAGATGCTAAAAGCAATGGGTGTTGGGGGGTTGTCTTGGGATGACACGCCTCTTCAACATTGCGTGGAAGTCTGGGACAGTGCCAAAAGAGTGGCAGATCGGGGTGGTGGTACCCCTCTTCAAAAAGGGGGACCAGAGAGTGTGTGCCAATTACAGGGGTATCACACTACTCAGCCTCCCGGGTAAAGTCTACTCTAAGTTGCTGGAAAGGAGGGTTCGGCCGATAGTCGAACCAAGGATTGAAGAGGAACAATGAGGTTTTCGTCCTGGTCGTGGAACAACGGACCAGCTCTTCACTCTTTCCAGGATCATAGAGGGGGCTTGGGAGTATGCTCATCCAGTCTACATGTGTTTTGTGGACTTGGAGAAGGCGTATGACCGGGTCCCCCGAGAGATACTGTGGGAGGTGCTGCGGGAGTACGGGGTGAGGGGGTCCTTGCTTGGGGCCATCCAATCCTTGTACGCCCAAAGCGAGAGCGGTGTTCGGGTGCTCGGCAGTAAGTCGAAGGCGTTTCCGGTGGGGGTTGGCCTTCGCCAGGGCTGCGCCTTGTCACCAATCTTGTTTGTGGTTTTCATGGACAGGATATCGAGGCGTAGTCGGGGGGCATCCTGATGGCATCTTCCGTCTGTGACCTCCAACTCTCACTGGAGCGTTTCGCACTCGAGTGTGAAGCGGTCGGGATGAGGATTAGCACCTCTAAATCTGAGGCCATGGTTCTCAGCAGGAAACCGATGGATTGCCTACTCCAGGTAGGGAATGTGTCCTTACCCCAAGTGAAGGAGTTCAAGTACCTCGGGGTCTTGTTCACGAGTGAGGGGAAGATGGAGTGTGAGTTTGGCCGGAGAATCGGATTAGCGGAGGCGGTATTGCACTCGCTTTACCGCACCGTTGTGACGAAAAGAGAGCTGAGCCGGAAGGCAAAGCTCTCGATCTACCGGTCAATCTTCGTTCCTACCCTCACCTATGGTCATGAAGGATGGGTCATGACCGAAAGAACTAGGTCACGGGTACAAGCGGCCGAAATGGGTTTCCTCAGGAGAGTGGCTGGCGTCTCCGTTAGTGATAGGGTGAGAAGCTCAGCCATTCGCGAGGAGCTCGGAGTAGAGCCGCTGCTCCTTTGCGTCGAAAGGAGCCAGTTGAGGTGGTTTGGGCATCTGGTGAGGATGCCCCCTGGGCGCCTCCCTAGGGAGGTGTTTCAGGCACGGCCAGCTGGGAGGAGGCCCCGGGGAAGACCCAGGACTAGGTGGAGAGATTATATCTCTGCACTGGCCTGGGAACACCTTTGGATCCCCCAGTCAGAGCTGGTAGATGTGGCCCGGCAAAGGGAAGTTTGGGGTCCCCTGCTGGAGCTGTTGCCCCCGCGACCCGACCCCGGATAAGCGGTTGAAGATGGATGGATGGATGTGCCAGTGTTAAGAGTGGCATGTGCCAGTGTTAAGAGTGGAATGTACCAGTGTTAAGAGTGGCATGTACCACTGTTAAGAGTGTTAAGAGTGGAATGTGCCAGTGTAAAGAATGGCATGTGCCAGTGTTAAGAGTGGCATGTGCCAGTGTTAAGAGTGTTAAAAGTGGAATGTACCAGTGTAAAGAGTGGAATGTGCCAGTGTAAAGAATGGCATGTGCCAGTGTTAAGAGTGGCATGTACCAGTGTAAAGAGTGGCATGTACCAGTGTAAAGAGTGGCATGTACCAGTGTAAAGAGTGGAATGTATCAGTGTAAAGAGTGGAATGTACCAGTGTTAAGAGTGGCATGTGCCAGTGTTAAGAGTGTTAAGAGTGGAATGTACCAGTGTTAAGAGTGGCATGTACCACTGTTAAAAGTGTTAAGAGTGGAATGTGCCAGTGTAAAGAATGGCATGTACCAGTGTAAAGAGTGGAATGTATCAGTGTAAAGAATTGCATGTGCCAGTGTTAAGAGTGGAATGTGCCAGTGTAAAGAATGGCATGTGCCAGTGTTACGAGTGGCATATACCAGTGTTAAGAGTGTTAAGAGTGTAAAGAGTGGCATGTACCAATGTTAAGAGTTCCATGTTAATGTGGGATGTCAGGTCACCAGGCGCATTTAGCTGAGAGTGGCCAGTTAACCAGGTAGCCGGTCGAACCCGCAGGCCGCTGTTTGATCCCTTTATGAAAAGTCATCTTTGAGGTTTTTGTCTTGTGTATTTCGGCATCATTCAGCACACTGTTTCAGCATCTCTCGGTTGGAAGCATGTGAGATGTGCCTCTGCTGGTGTCTCTCAGGGGAGACCAGAGCTGTTAGTCACCAAACATCTTAACTCATTATTGGAATTCCTATTTTGATTGTTAGAAAAATGATATAAACAGGACATTTATTGTTTATAATAAGTCTTGCAAGTAGGAGACCGAGTTGCCAACACGTACAGGTCATTCTGCTCTGAGGTCACACGCTCCACGGAGCTCCACAGCAACATCGCTTCAACTACTGTGACTAAACATTAGTTAAGTTTTCCCAACAGGCTCTTTACATGCAGGATATAGCGAGAGCTTTCAGTGTGCCGCCTGCAGATGTCAGCGCAGAGGTGTGTGTGTGTGTGTGTGTGTGTGTGTGTGTGTGTGTGTGTGTGTGTGTGTGTGTGTGTGTGTGTGTGTGTGTGTTAGTGGCAGATATCTGCAGTGTGTCCTCTGATTGCTGCCATCAGCTAGTGGAGTTGTTTGAGGAGCCCGGGGAGATAAGACACATTCACACAGTTTCCTCCCCATTACATTTATCTCCACCTTCTCTCTCTCCTCCAGTCTGTTTGCTGGGATGTGATCGACCTCTCTGAGCTGCTGCAGACTGACGATGGAATGTTCTCTTTCTCAGGGCTCATAGGTTTGACAATGGATGAAGCATGAGAAGATGAGGATCTGCAGGAGGAGGTGGGATTAAGCCGTTGAACTGCTTTCCTGTATTAACATGGCCTATAATCCATTTAAATCTGTTCCAGTCTCCTGCTGCTCCGCCTCTATTCCGTCTCCTCCTTAAATCCCCTCCGATCCTGTTAACCTCCTCCTGAGGAACATTCAGGAACCAGCAGACACGGTGTGGCTTTAAAGCATTTTTCCACTTGTTCTTTAGAGGCGGTATCTGTCCAATCAGAACGCTAAACAAGGTGTTGGATAACAAAGGAGGAAAAAAAGACCTTCTCGCTTATTAATCCCTGACATCCTTCCTCGTTCTAAGATGTTTACCCCTTCAGCACCTACAAAACACTTCTTGCCTTTCCTAACTTTAGAATAGATTACGATTAAAACATCATTTTGGTTGTGGTCTCTTAATGAAGCATGTTTGAGGTTTGTGAGACTAGATTCACTTTTCCCTTCAAAAGTTATATTACGTTTGACAGACGGCGCTGAGGCTGAACACCTCAGTACAGATTAATCCGGCCACCCGGCTTCTTTCTTCAAATTCAACAGCAGTGTTTGAAAAACAGGAGAAAGTCGTAACACCAGAGAACAAGATGCCATGCAAAAGAACCCACTTTGAGCCAATTCAGTACAACGAAGAGCTTTCATTCTACGGGTTCATTTCAGAGCCGAAGCAGCTGGCAGAGCGACGGGCTGCAGAGCGACAGGCTGGTGTGTTTGTTTAAGATAAGAAAATCACTGATAATCAATACAAACCTCATCAATAAACTCTGCAGATAAGAGACCGACGCAGCTCCCAAAGAAAATACACAGATAACTGAGGAAAGTACAAGTCAGTCTTTCTCAAAAGAGTTAAAAATTACTTAGAAACAGGATTTGCTCATCAAAAGAAAAGAAAGAAATTTACTTTTTAAAATATAAAGGGTTAGTTCACTCGTGTTACTGCTAGTGTGCATTGTTTTAATGACATTGCATTTAATTATTTCATAAACACGTAACATGTTACAGCTCAAAAATTGTGCAAACAGACAAAGTTAAAAACCAGAAAAATGTCTTCTTACAAAGAGAAAAAAAGATCTCAAGCTACAAAAACATACTTTTCTTAAAACTCTTATGTACAGCTTCCTTCATATACACTTTATTCACGGGACACTGGGCACACTGGACAGAAAGGTTTAAAGAGCGCGTTCGCCGTTAAGAAAAAACGATACATTTCATGATAAAAACACATTTGGATTGGATGTTACAGTTGGTGCAGTGATACGGTTCAACTTTCAATCCTCAAAAAAGTCCCCAAATATTTCATCAGCCCGTCCTCCAGATGTGTTGTAGTCTGAGCAGCTCAGTCCCCTAAAACCACCAAACAGTCGGAGTGCAACATGCAATTTGTGCGCTTAAAAGTCGGAGGATGTTGGCAATAGTTCCATGAAGCAGAGTCCATGTTGTTTGGGTTTTTTAAACATCATCGGAGAACCAGAAGCAGCACCAGGAACAGGACGTAGCCGGGCCGAACTGTCCTCACCGCTGTGGAACGATACCAGAGCACCTCGTCGGAATCATCTGGGAAATGGAGGGACAGAAAATTAGTATTATTGTAATGTACTTCAGAACATTTCTGTGTATATATATATATATATATTGTATTGAGGCCGCTGTGTAATAATACACAACGTGTTCAGTATCACCTTATTTTAAGGTTACTTTTTTGTACTTTAGATCAACAGTTACTGAGACGCTGAGGCACAGGGAGGGAGAACTGGATGATACGTAGGCAAAAAAAGTAAATAGGTATAATTAACAGATATGGGAATGAAGATGTTTTCTCAGCTACTTTGCAGATCTTCCTTCAGAAGGTCCCGCGTGGAGCTTAGGACGGCTCTGAAAACGCTGTGAGGGGAAGTAATGTGTCTTTATTTAGCGGTGCTTGCGTTTTGCATTTCCGAATAAAAGCCTTGGAGCTGTAAATGAGTGGGCGGGGCCGGCGTTCCTTCAGAGGTGTGTGTGGGAATTCGCCCCGGACACCCAAGTGGTGGCTCTTTGTTTGGGGGGGGAACGTGTGAACGACCGGGTTTGGAACGAGCCGCCGGGCGTCGGCGCTCTTTTCCCCCCGGAGAGCAGCATTCCTAAATCCAACAGCAGGAACAAAGCGCGGCGCTTCTCACCGCAGCCGTTGTGGAAGACGTCGGGGAAGCAGTGCAGGACGCCGTAGCCACAGCGGCAGTAGGAGCATCCTTTCTGAGCCCATTCTCCGTGAGGGATGGAACCACAGCTCCTGCGGACGCACACAGGCACAAAGTCAACCCACCGCAATGAGGCACGACAGCTGCGCGGCGGCGGGCCGCTGCTTACCGGATGCGTTGGTCGTACTCGCAGCTCCTCCCGGTGAAGAACGGAGGGCAGGCGCAGAAGCTGCCCAGGATGCAGGTGCCTCCGTTCTTACAGCAGCTGCGACTCTGCTCAGCACCTGCAGGGGGAAAAGGCCCTGTGAGTCCCGGGTAAAGTCCTGGACGCCTCCGCGTTCCACACACGGCCTGAGATCACGCACGCGGAGGTCCCTGACTTAACGCGCATCTACAGTAGTTTCTCCTCTGGCCCAGGAGGCCGTGAGGGCCGCTGGAGGCCGCAGCAGGGCCCTCGGACCTCAGGTTGAGCCTCTCCCTGCTAGTATCTGCGCCTGTGACATAAACCAGAGTCTCCATCTGGCAGCACATTCCTGCTCTCTGCTTCACATCAGCAGACAAACACTGAGAGTCTGAACAAACATCTGAAAATAACAGAGAAACACTAAAAGTAACCGAGGTCACAACGAGTCCCTGAGATACACAGATTGTTTCCCGTAGAACTTTACAAAGCTATTTAGGATTATCATAAAAATGATCACCGACCAAAATGTGTGGTTTAAAATAAATCACTCATGCAGCCTTCTACTCCTGTTTAGGGGATTGTACTCATTATTTAATTTGTTAACTTAATCCAGTCGTAGTTTTTCAGGATGGTTTAGTGTATATCTTTAATACTTCTGTTTTTAATGTACTTTCAAATTTTTATTTTCTTAAATATTAAAGATTGAACACAACGCCGTGTCAGCAATTAAGCGGTGCGTTATTGCAATGAAGTATACGTATGAAAGGGTTCTGTGCTTTAATTTATACTTCAACTACAAATCGCACTTGTTTTGTTCATGTAGAAAAAACGGACTTCCTTTTAAACGAAGGCGTCATCTTCTATGATCCTGTTTCAAACATTATTGTCCTGGGGGAGTTTTCCGTTTTGGGTTAAGAGGTGCACTTTCTTCTTCGTTGGTTTTGGGGCTGACCGCCCCCATCTGTGCATACAGAGGTGAAGTGTGAACTTACTGCCTGTGAGGCCGATGAAGGGCAGGACGGCGCTGGCGTCGCGGTGTTTACGGTCCCCGCTGTTTGGCGAGCTCACCTGGGTCAACTTGCCCAGGAAGTCGTGGGAGGGCGGCTGGGATTTCACCACCACAGAAGAAGAGAGATGAGAGGAGGAAGAAGATGGCGGCGAAGAAGTGGTCTGGCCTCCGCTACAGTCTTCTCCTTCACAGCCTGAGGGAGAAAAGGGAACAAATTCAGGGTTTGTCCTGGAAAGCCCCCATGGTGACATCATCATCCTCTTTAAGGGGGGGGTTCCCACTAAGCATTCTATTACAATGGATTGATACCTTGCACTCCCCCCTTTACTGTATCAGTTCAATCACACGCACTATAATTCATAGCTAATTGAAGTCACATTTCAAGTGAACCCTTGTTTATTTATTTCTTTGAACAGCAAAAATGTTTCTTTTCTTAAATCCCCATGTGAAGCTGGCGAATGTGTCCAAACAGTTGACAAAAAGCCTCAAACTGAGCAGCCTTCACTTGAAAATGACCGTAGTAACCGTGGATTTTGATTCCTCCTCGAACGCACACATTTTGCCCCACAAACAGAAATCCAGCAGTGGCCTTCTGTTGGGAAAGAGGCTTCATTTCGACCCAGCATGACCCCAAATTAAATCATTAAAAAAAATAATGAAACCTAAATGACGTGTGGTCTGTTTTACCAATTTATTTAATCCTGAGGGTTTGACTTATTCAATTAAGCTGGAGACGGAGTTGTTTTGGGGTATTTACTCCCAGCTGACATGAACATGCAGTGACAGTGTGATGGACGCGTTTCACTGACCTGCAGCAGAGTGGATACAGGTCACGGCCCACAGCACCACCCTGAAAGGAACCACATCTTTAGAGTCTCACAATAACAACACAGCGGTGTCATTCAAGAGACTCACACTCACCTGATCAGCTGCGTCCTCATTTTACCGACTTATTCCAACAAGTCCAACAAGCTGCACAGAAGGATCCTTCAACTCAAAGTGAAAAACTCTCCCAAAACAAACGGGCATCCAACGAAATGTCCAAGAGAACGAGTCCTTCCGTTTCTCCGTCCGAAGCAACACGAGTCCACGGATGGTGTTTAACCCACAGGCGGCTCCACGGACCCAATCCGCTCCGTTACGCACGTGATCGGTGATCCGGGTCTCAGTTTCTCCCGAAGCCTCCGTCTCTCCAGGTGACTCTCACACGGGGCGGGGCTTCCGGAGACACGCCCACTCCCGCTCGCTCTCTGTTTCCGCCCGTCTGACGTTCAGGTGGAATCAACAATAAAAAGACTGATGATGATGATGATGAAGATAAAATCAAGCGTTACAGTTTCATCCTCTAAAAGTATCAATGTTTGTCTCTTAGAAACCCTTTGCTGAACTGAAAAGGTAAATAAATGAAGCATTATTCACTTTGGGTTATGGTTGCTTCTTTTTTAAGTTGCTTTATTTTATTTTATTCAATCCAATTCATCTGCATTTTATATTTTCTTTGATTGTGATCTATTTTTCCACCCAGAGTAATTCTTAACTCTTAATTGGGTAATAATGTCTGCCCTGCTGAATGTGTGAACCCAAAAAGTGAAACAAGAAAGAAACTCATGTCACAATAAACAAGGTGCAACATTTCTAATAACTCATAGAATACAAATATGTGTCTCATACGTAAGGACAGATCAGTGTCGGATTGTGGTTATTGGTTTTCACGGGAAAAAATGTAACTTCCTTCAACGAGGATTAACAAAACAAAGAAACATCCAACTTTATTACTACATTTATTTTACTTCATTTTCATCAATCTCTTCTGCTGATACGTTACAAGCCTTGTGTGCTTTTCAGGCTTCTACCTGTTTTTCCTCTTCCTTCTTAATTTCATATAAAAGCTTAATGTTTTTTCTTAAATGAAATAAATCAGAATGTACTCACTTTTCTTTGGTGTTTTGATTCATCAGCATCAAGTGAGCAAAGAGAAACATTTCCCAGATTTTAAATAGTGGAATTTCATTTTTTTAAGGAGGCTTTTATCTATCTCCCTATACACTTTTTATATCTTTCTTTTGCAGTTAAACCAGAAAAAACCCTCCTCCCCTCCATTGGGTCCCAGTTAATCTGTCCTGCTTTGACCACGGGGGCACTATCAGAGGGGGAAATGGGTATTTTGTAATCTGCGCAGCATCACAATGCAGTCTGATCTCATGCTAATACACAGCAGGAGAGGCAGCAGCAGGAGGGAGAACTGGACCCGAACACAAGAGGAAATCTGCATGTGAAAGCTGCCAGACACAGAGGGGGAGAGGAAGGACAGATATGTGAGAGAAAGCACGGCTTTAACCTAATGTGATGATGCAAAGAGACTTGATGAATGTCTTGTTTCCTGACTGCTGGGGGCTGCTGCCGCCATGTCAGCACGGACCTCCTTCCATCCAGCACCTTCTCACCTCCACTCAGTGATATCACAGTATTGGTTGTCTTTAATAGTGAATACATATGAACTCAAAAAGAAACCAAACTTCAGGGTCCTCTTAATGTTGCAGTTAGCCTGTAATATGAATTTAACGTGATACTCATAGAAACAATGGATACTTTCAAAGATGATGAAACAAATGAAATGGATCTTATTTACTAAAGAGTTTTATATTAAATAGTTTCAGTAAATCCAGGCGCCTGAGCAGCAGAGCAAAGTGAACAAGTCCCCATCATGTAATTATGTTTAAGCTGCCTATTTAAATAGTCATTTTTCAAATCAAAGACTGAGTATATCTTCTTTTTTAAATTGATGCTGTATTAGATTTGGAATCTGATAAACATATTACAGCTAAATAGTTGTTAAGAAAATGGTCGGTTGTCACAAAACAGAGCGGCTTCACTTCTTGAGAAAATTGATTCAATGACACTTTGCGGTAAAGTGCTTTTATTTTATTTATCCAATAAAACTCTTCATTATTTAGACAATTGTTATTTTTGTTAACCAACCAGGACTTTATCCTCTGTGAAGTCAGTGTGACTGAGCCTCTGTCTCTACCCGGTGGCCCCTACGCCCTCTAGAGGCCTCCAGAGGAACTCATGCTGTTTGACCCCAGCACGTGACCCCTGTATGGTGCTCACTGTGTTGTTACTCAGCCTCAGTTGGGGGTCAGCTGTATTTTGGGGGTTTTAATTCAACAAAATGAAACAATCTAATGTTAAAATAGTCAACAGATGTTACTTCTCCCCAATTTGAGGCACTATAAACAGCAAATATGGTTAATATTGGGGAGCGCAGGGCTGTTTCTCCTCATGGTTCCCACACGGTCAGCCTCCCCTTCAGGAGCTCCTGTGCCAGCTTGTAGAATATAAAACAGTTGTCGCATGTGATGTTGTGTTGTGTCCACGACAACTCTCCTGCCTTGGTTTTTCACTGTAGACTTCGGAAGGTAAACAGGACCTACAAGTCCCACTGGTTTACCAGGCATGTGATATAAACGTGTGGGGAGGGGTCAGGGGTCACGGTGGACGGTCGATGTGCTCTGACGTTTGTTATTCGTAGATAATCAGCCGAGCCCAAAAAGTCTGACTTACGAATCATCATCAAAAATACGAATCATGCTATACTTGTTTTGATGAAAAATGACACCACACAAGGGTGAGCTTATCTTCAGCGTTTAGGAGCACTGCGTCGAAAGGATGACCCGTTCTTTTCCCCGAGACCACTGCTGCTCTGACTACTGACACCCCAACGCGTATTTTAACCTGCTGCATCTTGTATCAGGTGCAGAAAAAAGAAACAACATTTTGGAGTGTCTCCACCCTGCTTCCCGTCTCTATGCTAAGCTAGGCTAACCACAGCCTGACTGTAGTGGACGACGGGGATGTCCACCTCATCTCACAGTCAGAAAGAAAGTGAAAATTCATGCCAAAGGTTAATCTACTTCATGAAAAACACTTTAATCAATAGTTATTGGCTCCGTGACTTCAGTCTGATATGTAAACGGGTTGTAATGTCATGAAATGCAGTGACATATTCACACATTATCCTCATATGTAGCAATGATCTTATTACATGACATTTCTAACATTACGCATTCGACATATTTTGACACGTTCTTCCTTAACGCCTGTCTTTGCTTTTAAAGTGTTCACATGGCGTCACCCCGTCTATGGGGAGTGTCTCTACTCAAAGAACTGCGTTTCTTGGCACTTCCGGGTTGAACCGGTTTGTGGCTGCTTGGTTATTTCACACCCTTTACTGTGTCAATTGACCCCCCGAATCTCTGAACACCAAAACATTTAGCTTTGAGCAATCGGAGGAAAGTTACAAAAGTGCAATGCTGGACCCACGCGTGGGTTCGACAAAGCTAGCGGCAGTCACCCTGGAATTGGTAATAGAACAGGGCGGACGCGGCTACGCGTCTTGAGACAAAGTGTTGAAGGCCGCCCTGCACATCGGCGCGTGACATGCACGCTCATTGGTTGGAGGACCAGCGCGTTTAACATATGTATTTTTCACAGCCAGTGATCTGAAATGTTTGAACTAGAGACGTTACAGCTCATGATTCTATGGACACACTCGGTAAGTATGAGGGCTGTTAACCAACATCTAACTTCCCTGAGCTCCTAAGTATTTCCCTCATCACCATTTCTGAGCCATTAGAACGTTTCCGCGTCCTCTTCTCCCGTGTCTGCATCCTTTGCTGCAGTCTTGTTCATCTTCCAGCTGAGCGTCCACTCCCCGTTTGGCATGGCGTCCTCTTCGTGCGTCCGTCCCAAGTGTCTCTGACTCCGGTGCTCGGTGGAGAAACAAACCACCTCGTCCTCGTCCGGCTTCTTCCAGCGACAAATCCTCCACGACTCTCTCCAAGCCGCCCACTCCTCCATCTCCTCCTGCTCCTCCTCCTCCTCCTCCTCTGCTCCCCTGTGAGCTACTGCCACCATCCACGACTGCTTCCAGGTGGAGAAGGAGGAGCTCAGTTGGAACTGCAGATGGAGTGGGACATTGGATTTCCGTTTGATGCGTTGCTTTACTTTGGTTCTCTCGTTGTCTTCCTCCTCTTTCTTGTCTGCGTCCTCAAAGCCGCCGTCCTCCTCTGTTAGTTGGACCGCCGTCCCCTCTGCTTCACTGTCCTCTTTGCCCGTCTCCTCCTCATCTACTTCTGTCTCCTCGTCTATTTCTTCCTCACCCACTTCTTCTACGTCCACTTCTTTCTCCTGGTCTTTGTCTGCTTCATCCCCTTTCTGTTCTTCCTCCTCCTCTTCATCGTCTACATCCTCCTTCCCTGTATCCAAACCATC